TCATCCGACAGTCAACACTTACTTACAAACACTAATGGGAAACAATGTGAATAAAATGAATATCATAGTCTGTTCATGAATAAGACATAGAAGCTTGTACACAACTGATATTACTTAGGCGTAAATAAATACACCAGACTCCTACAAATGTTAATGATAGATAACATGAAGTTGCTCATAAGTTATAAAAGTCTTCATGATGCTTAGAATATGATGGCAGCTCAATAAACAAGGTCCACACAAGTTGTGTGGAAGTCCCTTTGACTGACGTCCACTGTCTTACAAACATGTATAGTAGACGCTACGAACACTGAAAGAGATGCAAGCGAATGCAATGTTGCAATATCCCTACAGTCAACATCAACTAGCTAGTGAAGGAAAATTACAATCCCTTACAAACAATTATGGGATACATGTGAGTATGCATGAAAGACAGTGATATGCATCCAAATGAATATCATGCAATTCATATAAAGATGAAAATGATTGATGCATGTATCAATCATACAAACATATTTCCCTTTTTATTGCTTTTAAAGACAACAAAGAACTTTTCTTCAAATGTGAATTTGCAAGATAATATGCCAAACTCTTGCAAGCAACAACAGAGGCCAACAAATAGCAAGATAATCTATAGATCGGTGAATGATAAACACTATGCTCACATTCAAGCAACGATATTAGGGAAATCACAGATGAATAATTCAGTTACCTATGCATGTTGAAAGATAACATATAACGAGCAATGTGCAGTAAATGTCAGATCCTCCATACGGCCAATTATATGCATACATACAACATATTGCCTGAGTAAAAGACAAAATATCTGCTACATATACAGGACACCCACACATATACAAATCATCGTGGCAAAATGCATACAGAATGCAGTAAACACAAAGACATTCACAAGCTATTTGTAGTAGAAGAAGATTCGTCATACATTCAACATGTTGTCTGTGGATAAATATGAAAGAAACTACGATGACTATAAGTATCTACAATCCAAAGTAGAAGATTCATTAGTGCTCTATGATCCACCTACAAAAAGTAGTAAGTAGTGCACAATAGTCTACCTGTATAAAGCAGCAAACAACTCAATCAAGAAGCTACTACAACACATCACCAGATCCGCAGCATTCATGCAAATGGACAGATGGCGGTTGCAAATATTTCAAAGTATCCTCGCACATGCACTGTAATATATATGCTCATAGGTACACTAAAGGGGTAAATACAATCGCCACCTGCATGGGCCCCGGCGAGCGTGTTATAAATACATACGTGACGTCTAGGGATGTTGCACGGGTCAATAATTGAATTCACGAACCCGATCCTTCTATATGGATCAATAGGAATCGACAGGGTTCAAACCATCAAAAAAATATACGGTTGCGGCAACCGGTATATTTATGTTAATACATTCATATTAGGCCTTCAAGACCTATAACAATAAGAATTCACTAACAAAGGCATAAAGCCTACGAAACTCGATCCTTTATCGACAAGTTGACATAGTCAATAAGGTTCAATCAGTTAGCAAGAATGATCCCAAACATCCCGAAGATGTCAATGTTGAATAAAAATCTCAACCGGATGGGTTTATAAATAATTCCAAAATGTCATCCCAAAATCCCAAAAATCCAAAAATATTTAAAATTAAAATAAATCCATCAACACTTAAAGCAAAATCCATCCACCCTCCACAATAATTTGCCGAGGTGGACAAATTCAAATATAATTTCAGCTCACATGCAGCTAATGCCAAGTCAAAAATATCACTAGAATCCATTATCAAATAATCTCCAGCCAGTAAGAACGTGATACATGTCTTCTGACCAACAGTTTTGTCATCAAATGGCACCGCAGGATAAACGGTTATGACCGGGGCTCTCTGAACTGAGTGGTTTTACCGCCAAATGGCACCACGAAATACCGATTATGGCCAGAGCCAATACATTCCTTAGTGGCATTAAATCTTTGAGATATGAATCAATAGGATATGATCGATATTTCACAAAGCTCTCTGTTAGCTAAGGTGGCTCAAATTTGTCCCCTTAGACAAACATCCGCCCCAAGTCTACAAGGTCCCCTGAACGAAACAACCTACGGCTACCGACAAGGATCATTCTGTCAGGTTGGGTCGACTACCTCCTCTGACTAAGTAGACTAGGGATCACGATGGCCCGAGACAATGGAACCATGGGATCTTGATCAGGTCCATCATCCATTCCCCCACCATCCGCTTTAAGTATGAGATGGTGAAATTTCTGATTTTAAATATCAAACTTTCCAAATTCCCAATCCTCAATCCCATGCTGCTACTATATGTCAGATAACACATATTTTTACGTATCTGATTGACAACTAGCCTTAATCGAAAGTTCTCTCTCGTTACTGGGAGGGGCAATTAACTATAGGGGCTTGCGCCTATAGGAAACCAGAACTCAGATCATAAAGTCCTCGCAAAATGAGGGTGAAATCTCTGGGTAGTGTCTTAGTGTTCTTTCAGTGACTTAACTTGGTATATTTTCTCAACAGCCTATCTTTACATATTCTTTCAAGAGAGATCTCCAATTCCTTTCATCGAAGTGACTAATCCTCTCTTCCATGCACACAAAGTCACAAACTAATCCAATACACAGAGAGTTCTCAACTAGTTCATGAGGAGTCCACAAACTCATCTTTTCTTGCCACACATGGAGCATCTAGGCGCTACAATGTTTCCATAATGACGAATATCCCTAACTATTCCCAAATAAGGTCAATAAGTATAATATCCATTTCTTCATGGACATCACGATGCGTATTTTACCTCGATGTCCAGGAAACATAACACGGGGTTATAGATCCCATAGGTGAATATTAAATTAATAGGAACTCCGTGAGGTTTCATTATCCTAAGAGGTACATAGGTAGTAACAATGATGCATCTGAGTGCGCAACCCAATGGCCTCTCAAAAGACCTCCGCCACCCATCTAAACACAATCAAAATATATTTGTTCCTATTGATCCATTCATAATATCCTTCGCTCAGTTCACTTCCATTTCTTATGAATTTAGGAGCATATCTCAGTCCTCAACACTCTTTTATGAGTAACACAGGGAACTAGATTCCGCAATTCATAACTAATAATATCTGGCATATATTCCATTAATGGCATATCAATTGAAAATTAATGGAGAAAGTCCAATAGTTACCACTACAATAATTATCAGCAGTACAATTTGCTAGGATAACCTTTTCTGATAGATTTATTTAACATTGAAAACCAATTCTAACATGGTAAATATTGACGAAATGATTTTCATCAAAATTCGCAAAAGAAAGTTTACCAACAAACAATAACCTAATTTCATAAAGTTTTCAGTAAAAAATCAGCCATTTCCAGTAGTACCTTCTTGAATATATTGAGATGAGCATATTTAGATTGTCTTCAAGTGGGCAAAGCTCCAAGTAAGTTAAGTGAAATACTTAGTCTATAATTGCTATTAGATGATTAATCTATAATAGAATACTTAGTAAATCATTAGATGATATAATATACAACTTATTATCATTAAACTAGCAGTGAGCCACACATGAGTAGCTTGGGCTCATGAGGTCAACAATATCATATATAATAGTGCACAAGCATTGACATCGATATAGTCGTGTGAATATCAATTTTTTACACATCACTTTATGGATGTTTGTAGTATACATAAGAATTTCCTAGTTTTGAAAGGGATGTCTTATTTTTTAGATACATTTTTCTAAGCATGCATATATATTTAATAAGGAAAAGGATCAAAATGGTCCATTAACTCTTTATAAAGGACTAAAATAGTCCTCAACTATATTAAAAAATCATTTTGATCTCTCAAGTCTTCAAAAGGGAACCAACATGCTTTATGAGAGTCAAGAGACCATTTTAGTCATTTTCTCATATAAAATTTTAATAATATATTAGCATGCTTTATGAAGCAACACAAATATGTTAATCTTATATCAATCATCGGTCAAAGAGGTACTGCCAAGGGGTAAAAGATATTGAATCTGATTTGACCCCTAAGAAATTAAAATAACATCAAAATATTATTTTTTTCCATTTTTGTTTACATGGCAAAAGGGTCATTTAGCAATTTTGAGATTACAAATAAGTTCTTACATGTAATATTAGAAATTTCATTAATGTTTGTAATTCTTGTAGCTTGAAAGGGGTGTAGCACTAATAATAAGCTTGGCCAACCCATCAAAATAAAGTATGATTCATTTTGCATCTTTTATTTTCATATATGGTCAAAGTCTATAAACTCATATAAACAACCATCTAAATGGACTAATAGGAACATCATAAAGCTCATTTAACCTTAAATTAAAGTTAAATAGGCATTAAGCTTAACAAGAAGTTGTGTTTAGAAAAAATAATCAAACCCTATGTTAAATTATTTGATCATGGTTTCAAGCGGCAAAAATCTTCTTAAGTTAATCAAGGTTAAGCTTAATCAAGAACTACATTAATCCCTTAATTAAATTGATTATGCATTTAATCAGGATAATTAAATCCTAACAAAGCCAATATGACCTTTAGCTTTGTAATGAGGTCATAGTAACATTAATCATGCCCCAAATAAAGTTTTCAAATTGATCAAACTTGATTTTGGGGTATTGGGAGTTTTAGCTGGACTTAATTAACCTTGATTAATTAAACAATACTGAAGAGCCTCAAATTTAAAGTAAACAATGGCAAGCATCAAACTTCAATTTCTTGCATGTATCCGACCCCACGTAGTGCGGTAAAAGCTAATTTTTATTGTTGTTGTATACTATAGAGAGTTGAAATGGGCAGGCACATCATAATAAAGCACAAATGGGTTTTTTACTTTCGTGAAGATTTTCCCTTGAAACAATGCTATAAAAAAGATTATCTTTTGGAAAATATCAATCTTCTAATAAAGAAGAATTCAAGAAGATTGGAACTAAGAACTTCAATTAATTTGGAAAATTTTTTGTTACCTATCATCCCACCGAGAAAGGCGACAAGTTAAATGTGCTATGACCTCATGCACTGATTTAGGAGCTGCACTTCCACCAGCAAGAAGTAGCTCCTGCAGAAGACCATGCTATCAAAATTAAAACTTACGCAAGACAACACGAAGTATTACTTGTACAAAATTATTTATGTCGCATCAATATGTTAACAAACATCAGCTTAAGTGACTTTCCCTTCATTTACAACTACCTGCACTTCAGTGATGCCCAGAACATTTATGCTTGATGCACAACCTTTAACATGCATTGCAGTTACTAAAAACTTTTGAGTTTGCCAAGAACGAAGCACAATTGGTATATCGTCTTCATTACAAAATGGATCACCGACTGACTGCCCCAGCAACTCAAATAACAGCCCTCCAGCCACTCTGACGGGAACCTGAAGAGCTATCCATCTTCAGTCAAGTCAGAAAAGAAAACACTACAGAAGAAATAATTGAAAAGCATAAATAAATAGCGCAGATAAAGCATAAATGGCATAAACGTTGCATTTCAAATAGAAGCCTACACGGCAATGTTGGAGAATTTTTTGTATCCTCAAACGGATTGCATATTTTATAATCGGGTGCGGCATAAGAATATGATATATTACCCCGGAGGGTAAAAATATCATCTCCTTATGGACTCAAAAAACACAAAAAATTGTACAAACATAAAAATAATCTGTGTTAAATGTAAAAGACGCTAACTGCTCAATACCGTAATAATAGAAACCACATTCGTAACCATGACTCTTAGTCGGTATTATTAACCAGTATAGCAATGTTTCTAGGTTGATGCCTAATTTTTATACAAACTAAGCTGGTGTGCGTGGTTCCAGAGGATGGTATTTGGTGCATTATATGGCCGCTTCAAGGCACAATTTTGAATTTAAATTCCCATGAATGTAATTACTTTTAAAGTTGAATGTGCCACATGATACAACTTTGATTTTAAAATAAATATTTCAATTGATTCTTAACCATCAGAATATGAATGCCATTATTTTTTATTTTGAATTCAAATTGAAGCCTACAACTATGTTATTTAAACGCTTAACTATTAAATCATGATTGTTAGCTATTTTATTTAATGTCTATATATAAGTTTATAATTCTAATTAAAACTATTTATAATTTAATTTAAATTTATCTTCTCAATCTTTAATTACTTCAACTCAAAGAAAAGTTTTTATGGCTTTATTCCACTATGTGGGATTGACTATATGAATCTTTTTCTCCATTGTGTCATATTAAGAGTCAAATTCTTATTTAAATCTAATGATTTTTTATTATTATTATTATCTTTATCAACTCCTGTGCAAGGTTATTAACTTGTTAGTTGATATCTATGTATGTATGAATAGTGAGGAATGACAATTTTACATAATCTGAGTTTGTCCAACCAATTATCTTTAGCATCCTTGTTGCCTTGTTCTATTTGGTGCATAACCTGCAAAGCTAAATGAGCCACGTAAGGAATGTTGGTACTCTAAAGATAAGAAACCATTAAGTTTCCTACTTTCCTTGTTATGAGGTAGAATCTGGCTTTGCAGATAGATCGATTTATAACTAGATACAGTCCAACACATGTGGCGTAAGTTCACAGCCGAATTATAAAAATAGTAGATAATAACAATAAGCATGATATTATTACATCAATCCCTTTTAGCCAAATAAGCATATCTACTCGTCAACACATTATTTTGAGCTAGTATAGCATTTCTCTTGAGGATAAGCAATCCTTAGGCTTACTGCATTCAAAATATTTTTAAAAATTAAAAAATAAATGACAATTTGGTCAAAATTAATGGATCAAGAAAGACATGAAAACTTGGTCCAACTCAACTCTTTTGTTGTCCGGTTCTTCCCACCAGAAGGAAATGTTATAAGTGGTCCAAGAAGAACTCTTCTCCAAAAAATAAAATGATGGATGCTCTTGAAAGCAGAAGACACCTTCATTTTGTCAAATCAATTGTAGTATTTCCAAATGCTAACAGAAGAAGTGTCTCAGACAAAAGCAAAAGCACACCTTGATCTCCATAAACTCTGGCCATAGAAATAGCAACAAGTTTGGAAGCCCAATGGTTCTTCATATTCTTATCATGGTTGCATCATTAAAAGGAGGACCAATACTAAGGTTAAAAGGCAAATCAAAGAAAAATAAACATGAGATCCTTGCAACTGTCAATTAACTTCATTAGGCTTCTTGGCACTAGTAGGTAAAGACAAATAAATAGAGTGCATATTATTTGCAAAATATAGACCAACGTTTTAAAAGGCAAAATCGGGAATCGAGTCGTTTTGGCTAAGCGAGGCGAGGCGTAAGCCTAAAAAATGATAAAAATAAAGTAATTAACAGTGCCGAGCATGTACCGCTCGGTACCGAGCATGTACCGCTCGGTACCGAGCATGTACCGCTCGGAACTGAGCGGTACTGGCTCGGTACCGAGCATGAACTGATCAATATCGAGCATGTACTTAGTGGTATTGGCTTTGTACCGAGCGTGTACCTAGTGGTATCGAGCATGTACCGCTCAGTACCGAGCATGTACTGAGCGATACAAGCTACTCAATAATTATTATTAATACTATTAATTATATATTTAATAATCTATATTTTAATTTATATTAACTAGGCTAATTATATTAATATTTAATTAATAATTATATTACTAATTATACTATTAAGTATTTAATTAATTTGCTTAATTATTAATATTTAAATTATATTAATTAAGTTAATCAATAATAACTTAGCTGCGTCTAAGGTTTGCCTTTCATCTTCTCTTTTCGTCCTTCTTGTTCGGCTTCGTTGCTTCATAGGAGGTGTAGAGATTACACGCGTCGCTTCTTTGGCTCCTTTGTGGCTGTTCGACTGCGCTCCTTCGACGACTTTCCCTTCCTGTCGGATCATAAGTTA